ATGGTCAAAAAAAGATTCTTCTGAACTCCATTTTTACTTACACAGTAAATATGTACATTGTAGCACCAACCAATAACTCTTGGAGTCCAGAAGGAAATAAAATGCAAAGGCAGTTAGATGCTGGCAGCCTGACGGTCTGAGTTTCCACTGTAATCCCATGATGTACCCTAACAGTTTAAAATCAACAGAATGTCATGCCATGCTGATCTTAATGCATGTGTAAAGCTAGTTACCCCACACCTACCATAAAAACCAAACCAGTTCCTATCGAGCCAATTCTGACTCATGCTGACCCCGTCAATGACAGAGGAGAACTGAATTCCACAGCATTCACCAGGCCTTTGGTCCAAGGTAGCACTGGGTGGGTTCCAGTCACCAGATGTCCACATATATAGCTTGTGGTTTCAAGTCGTAGATCTGTATGTAGTACTGTTGAATACTTCTTTAATGTCCAATGATCATGTAAAACTTAACTGTACTTAAACCCCAAGTCCTACCATGCCCCTTCCACCACTCTGCAGAACAGAGACGGTTCCTTGGACCCTTCACCTGGGTTCACAGTCAGCTCTCTTCCCTGTTGGCCTTTTTTATCCAATCCAGGCAGTCTCTCAGACTGGCCAGTTTTTTTCTTTCAAAATATCACCACCTTCTTTCAGCCGTCATCCCTCTTGCCCCATTTTGTTACTTATTCTAACAGCCTCTCTCAACTCCCTCCTCGGTGGATCCAACAGAATGTAAGCCTCCACTTTATTTCACCCAGCATCACTGAAGAGCCCACCCTTTTCATCCAGAGCAGCCTCATCTAAAAACTGGGGAGAGTCATCACATTGATGTCATAAGGCTATTTAAAGACCAAATAAATAAGTATATGTGAAGTACATGGAGCTTGCCTACTATACAATCCTGCTCAGTGATGATTCCCTAATATCTTCTTCTCTTGCCCCTCCCTCCTCCCATGGATTCTTGACCCACCATTCCTTCCTTCCTTCTTCTTCTTACTAGTCTCTTATTTGTTGGTTACATTCCTTAAACCTCTCAAACCCTTTGGCTTTTCCCACATGATTCTCCGTGATGTTGTTAAGTGCCATTGAGTTGGTTCCGACTCTTAACGACCCTGTGGTGTAGCGTTTCCAAGGAACAGCTGGTGAGCTTGAACTGCCAACCTTGCAGTTCAAAGCAAACTTGCAGTCCAGCGCATTAACCCGCTGCACTACTGCAGGACACCGAGGCTCAGAGAGATTCAGAACCCTGCCTTAGATTATAGGCTTTTCATCTTCCCAGCTTCAGAACCAACTACATCCTAAAGTCCAAGTGGAGTGGTGTTTTTTTTTTTTTAATCTTGTAAGCTCATTTTAAGCTTTCCCCCATGTCTGTATCCTTGATCACTTGAGGCTCCTTATCTAAAATTCCCACCTTGACCTTTCTCACCCAATCAGAGTCAAACTATCTTTCAAGCCCAAGATAAGACCTCACCCTTTAGACCTCTTAGAGAATCTTCCAAACCCTGGGTAAATGACAGTCATTTTGTAAACACTATCTCTGGTAGCGTGGTGGTTACGAATCGGGCTGTGAACCTTAAGGTCAGCGGTTTGAAACTACCAGCCGCTCCGCAGGAGAAAGATGAGGCTTTCTACTCCCGTAAAGATTTACACCCTCGGAAACCGTGTACAGGGTCACTATGGGTCGGAACCGACTCGACGGCACTTAACAACAACAACAACATCTCGCCATAGAAGGAGCCCTGGTAACATAGTGGGTTACGCAAGGTCAGCAGTTTGAATCCATGAGAGAAAGCTGAGACTTTCTGCTCCTATAAAGATTTACAAGGAGCTCTGGTAGCATAGTGGTTGCAAATCAGGCTGCTAATCTCATGGTCAGCAGTTCGAAACTACCAGCTGTACGTGGGAGAAAGATGAGGCTTTCTGCTCCCGTAATGATTTACATCCTCGGAAACCCTGTACAGGGTCGCTATGAGTCGGAACCGACTCCATGGCACATAACAACAACAACAACATAAAGATTTACAGCATCTGAAACCCTATGTGGGGTTGATATGAGTCAGAACCAATATGACGGCACATAGTGTACATAAGCAGCAGGATCACATGGATCTCATCTCCCCCTGGATTAGCAGTCCATGAGAACTTCCTTGGGGATCCATGGGCCTCAGAGTCCCTCCCCCAACACTGATCACTGATTGAACACAGTTGTTGTTATGTGTCGTGGAGTTAAGTACAGGGTTTCTGAGGCTGTAAATCTTTACGGGAGCAGAAAGCCTCATCTTTCTCATGCGGAACTGTTCGTAGTTTCGAACTGCTGACTGTGAGATTAGCAGCCCAATTTGTCACCACTTAGAAAACCAAAAATCATGTGCCATCAAGCTAATTCCCACTCACTATGATCCTATGTAGGGTTTCCAAGGCCCTATATAAGGTTTCTGGAGTCCTGGTGTGGCTCTGTGGGTTGATGCACCAGACTGCAAAGCTGTTTGAACTGCAAGGTTGGTGGTTCAAGCTCACCAGCGGCTTCTTGGAAACCCTATACAGGGCGCTATGGGTCAGAACCGACTTGATGGCACTTCACAACAACAGCAACATATATGATTTCTGAGACTGTAACTCTTTACAAGAGCACACCATCTTATTTTTCTCCCATGGAGTCACTGGTGGATTTGAACTGACGACCTTGTGGTTAGCAGTCCAGTGCTTATCGTACAGTGCCACCAGGCTCCTTGAACACAGTAGGACCTCAGCAAATTCTCACTGATGGATAGAACTGAAATTCCTAGAAATAGAGGCTCAGGAGAATTCCAAGATGGAGCTAATAAGACCTTTGGCTGGAGAGCACTGGATGGCCAGAGGGTTTGTGAGAAATCTCTAAGGTCCCCTAACTAGTCAGGCCCAGTGAATAGGCATGTCAACATATCATCTAACTGCTCCAGGCAGAGGGACCAGGGACTGTGATTGTGTATATGGGGTCTTTCCTGCCCCCAAAGATGGGCTGGCCTCATAATTCTAAGAACATTGGACCAGGCCAGCTTCCATCATGTCTCAGTTCACGGAACTAAAACTTACATCAATAGATGCTTTTAATATTCTCCCCCTGAACAATTTTCTTTTCTTTTTCAGAGGCTCAAAGTTGTTCTCTGTCAGTGTCGGGTCTTGAGGACTGCACGTCTGAGCAGTTCTGAGTTGCTCACATGCCTCGCACTGCCATCTCAGAGATGAACACATAGAACAATTTGGTCAGAATGCATGGTGTGAGGAAGATGGTGCCACTGGGATATGTGTGGCCTACCGAGGGTCCTGGAGATCTGTACTGACCTTAAGGTCCCTAAGGTGGAGGAAAAGTTCATAGTCCAAGCTGTCCAGTTGTCAGGCACATAGTTCCAATCACACTCTGGACTAGAGAATTCTTTGTTGTGTGCCTTGTAGGATTTTAGCAGATCTCTACCAATTTATATTGTTGTTGTTATATACCATCGAGTCAGTACCAACTCATAGCAACCGTATGCACAACAGAACTATGCACTGCCTGGTCCTGAGCCAACCTCATGATCATTGCTACACTTGAGCCCATTGCTGCTGCCACTGTGCCAACCCATCTCATTCAAGATCTTCTTCTAAAAATTTTCTCTGACCCTCCACCTTATCAAACATGATATCCTTCTCCAGGAACTGGTCCCTCCTGATAATATCTCCCAAGTATGAGAGACGAACTCTGGTCATTCCGACTTCCATGGAGCACTCTGGCTGTACTTCTTCCAACACAGATTTGTTTGTTCTTTTGGCATTCCATGATACTTTTAATAATCTCCTCCAACACCATAACTCAAATGCATCAGTTCTTCTATGGTCTTCCTTATTCACTGTCCACCTTTCACTTGCATATGAGGTTACTGAAAATACCATGGCTTAGATCAGACACACTTTAGGCCCCCAATTCTACCAATAGATGTTAGGACTACCCTCCCCCAAGTTGTGACAGCCAAAAATATCTTAGATATTGTCACATGTCCCCTGGGGGGCAAAGCACCCTTAGTTGAGAGCCACTGATCTTAAACTTGGCTGACCTTTGAAGAACATCCAACTATCAAACGGGTTGTAAGTTCTTAAGACAAAGTCCAGGAAAAAGCTCTCAAATGCTTTCTCCGTTACCCTTTGACCCCTCCCTGGGGTTTGCTTGCTATGCTGACCACTGCTCCACACTGTGAATATGCAACGAGCCCCCATTCATAGCATCAGCATTACTTCATTTCTCTGTAGCTTCCCCAAGTGAGCTGGGTCTTCACTGGAAATCTCGCTTGAGGTCACTTTGGAACCTCAATTTGGATCCAAAAGCATCGATGTTGATTGCCTCTCAGTGGGTGAAATTGGCAGATGACAGGGGTTAAGGAAGAGGTTGTTTAAATAAGTGTAGATGAGTAGCCAGAAAGGGGTCCCTGGTGGCACAATGATTAAGTACTCAGCTGCTAACTGAAAGGTGGGTGGTTCGAGCCCTCCAGTCACCATGTGGGAAAAAAGTCCTAGTGAGCTGTTCCCATAAAGACTTCAGCCTAGGAAACCCTCCTGGGCAGTTCTACCCTGTCTTGTCCTGTGAGTTGCCTTATGTTGAGGTTGATTCAAGGGTACACAACACGACACTGTTCTTCGTGGGCCTCTCTGCACCTGCTCTCCATCCCTTTGGTCTCCATTTTTCTCCCACCCTTTGGTCCTTGTGCAAAAGTGCTGGTACAGGACAGTGCTTGGCATATGTGGCTGGAGTGGACTGAGAGAGGTGGCAGATGAGCAGTCTGGGTCTGTGGCCAGTGACAGGAAGTATCCCAGGTGATGGGCAGTCAGTCACAGGTCTGTTAGGCCCCGCCCACAGAACTTGCACTAACTCAGGTTTCATAGCAGGTTCTGTGCTTCCTGCATCCCGATTCCAGCAGACAGGAAACAGGCAATGCCCAGAGCCAGCCCCTAGTGAGGCTTAAAGCTGTGTCCTGTGTTTGCCTTCAGGAATCTGAGCGGCTGGAACTCATGAACGCGGAGCTGAAGACCCAGATTGAGGAGCTGAAGCAGGAGCGGCAGCAGCTCATCCTGATGCTGAACCGGCACCGACCCACCTGCATCGTGCGGACCGACAGCGTCAAGACCCCGGAGTCGGAAGGCAACCCACTGCTGGAGCAGCTAGAGAAGAAGTGACCATGGTGATGAAAACGGAGGACGAGGAGGGGCCCAGAGGCCCTCCCTTGATGGGGACAAACGTTACAAGGAGGCTCGGCACGGCCAGCATTGGCGGGCTTTTATGTGAAACTCAGATCAGCCAACAAGGGGAAGAGCAGGCTGAGGATACCCAGGGGGACCAAGCTCTGAGACCAAAGTCAACCCACCAGTGGGGCTGTCCTGCCTGCCACCCAGTTTGGAGAAGGCATGATGGTGGTGCCCCCTGGGCCAGAGAGATGCTCCATCAGGTGTTCTCTGGTCTCTGCACCGCCAGGGCACCACCCAGCCAGCCAGGGGACCTCTGAGAAGCCAGGAAAAGCCATGAAACCAACACGCAGCTGGAGACAGGGAACTCAGAGTGAAACTGTAATAGGCCAGCCCCCCGCCCTGACCTTGACGCCAAGCTGCAGCCAAGCTGCAGGAAGCCGAGCCCTGCTGGAGCCGCCCATCTCTGCCTGGTACAGTGGCCTCAGCCCTGGGCGCACCCTCACCGACCCTGCTGGAGTTTGCTGCGGGCACAAGGCGCGGGCGCCCTTCCAAAGCACATACTCACTCGAATGTTTACAGACTGGCCGCCCTGGCAGTGCTTTCAACTGCACATGGTTTTTATACTTTCTTTCTTTTTTTTTTTTTAAATATTTTTTACAAAAAAAAAAGATTTTATACAAGCACTCTATATGTGGATTCTATAATCACTCGATGTGATACAGTATAAATATGCTATGATTTGTTTGTTACGAACAAATACCCACCAGTTACAGTCATTGTGTATAATCCTAAGTACTGTAGTCTCTGGGGCGGGTGGCTGGGGGCGGGTGGGGTACAGTTCCATCCTTGTCAACCCTTCATAGTATTCAGTCTTGTATTGCTCAGTAAATGTTACTCTTACATACCCCTCTTGCCGCCTCTTCTGATATCTACCTAGGGAATGGGGTGCCGGGTATCCTCAGTGATGGAGAAGTTTTGGACCATCTGTTATAGGCCCTTAGTGTTCATAGCGGCCCTCCCAAGTACTATTAACATGCCCATTTTACAGATAAGAAAGCTGAGGCTCAGAAAAGATAAATAAATCTGCAGTTAGGATTTTTCTGAGAGCATTCATTCATTCTACAACTGTCTACTGAGTACTCACTTGACTCCTAACATAAAGGCTGGCAGTTCAAACCCACCAACAGCATCACAGAAGAAAGACCAGGCAATCTACTTTTGTAAAGATTGTTGTTGTTGTTGTTAAGTGCCGTCGAGTCGGTTCCGACCCATAGCGACCCTGTACAGGGTTTCCGAGGGTGTAAATCTTTACGGGAGTAGAAAGCCTCATCTTTCTCCCACGGAGCAGCTGGTAGTTTCGAACCGCTGACCTCAAGGTTCGCAGCCCGATTCGTAACCACTTCGCTACCAGAGCTCCTTGTAAAGATTATAGCCAAGAAACTCCCATGGCAGGAACAGTTGTACTCGGTAACACATGGGGTTTAACCTGATTTGGACTCCAGTCAACGGCAACAGGTTTGTTTTGCCATGTGTGTGTTAGGCCCCATGCTGTGCACTGTGTGCTTTCTGGGGAATTAAACACACCTGGGCCCTGCGCTCATGGCCTTTACCATCAGGAAGCCTGGCCTGTGTTTCTCCATACATTGCGGGGGAGCTGCAATCCTCCCCATTTCACAGGTAGAGAACTAGAGGCCCAGGGTGAAGACACTTACAAATATCATTTCTTAAGGATTTATTTCTATGTGGCAAACATATATGGTCTCATTGCCACATGAAGTAGCCCTCATTACCCCCACTTTACAATTTAACTGAGAGTTGAAGAGGTTAAATGACTTGTGGAAGGCTACCAGCTAACAAGGGACAGAGCCACCTCCAAATGCCCATGACTCCCCACTGTAACCAGCTGACTCTCATTGTCCCCAGGGTTAAATGTCTCACCTGATGGGAACAGGAAGCCTTGGTTACACATTCAGTTCCTAGGAAGGCTGCATTTCGCTCCGTGTTGTATGATCATGAAGAAAAGTAGGCATCCATTAGACAAATGCATGCCTGGGCCGGGAGAGAGGGCAAGACCGGCTGAGTGCCAGACCCTATCACTGCTGTTCATTTGGCACTGTTATCTCCTGGGACATGTCAGCTCTGTGATGTAGGTGGGAGAGTTCCAGTCTAAAGTTGTATAAATAGAGGCTCATATATAAAGGTCAAATGCCTCAGCTACAAAGAGACAAACTGGGTTGAACCCAATTCTCCTACCTTCTCGTCCCTGGGCTAGATGACGTGGTCAGTGAGAAGGCTTTGTGTCAGGCCTGTGGTTACCTTGGATTGCCTCCCAAGTCAGGTCTGAGGCTCTCTGTGACAGACACTGAGAACAAGTCACGGAGGCACGTCTGGCCCCGTACTTCCCTACCCCAGGTGCCCTCCACCAAACAAGGTGGCTATGAGGCCCTTCTGCCTCTCTCCTGAGCCCGGTCTGCAAAGCAGGGCCGGGCCACTTTCACAGCTGTGGCCAGCACCCAAGAAGCCTCCAGGCTGTAATCCTTGAGCATTTTCCAGCTGTGAGAAAAGTGAAGACATGGAGTCCCCAAGGCCCTTCAAGAGACCAGGTGGACGTTCCTTCAGGGCCACCGCCTGCCAATGGCATCGTTCCTTGTCCTGTGCTTGGGCACCACCCGCTGGCATCTCCAGGTTAAAGGATGCCTTACCTACCGTGATGGTTGGCTCCCAGAATCAGGGGCTTCTGCTTGACCAATGTCAGTCCTTAGTGTTTGTCTGTCACCACAACCACCACGCCTGTCATCGTCAAGTGCCTTCGCATCGATTCTGACCCATAGCAACCCTGTATAGGGTTTCCAAGGAGCGGCTGATGAGCTTGAACCACCAGCATTACAGTTCAAATGACTTTGCAGTCTAACACATTAGCACACAGAGCCACACCAGGACTCCTAGGTACCCAGAAGTCACAATTGTAGTCTTCCTCATAAAACCAAACCACTGCCAAGTAGAACTGCTCCATAGGGTTTCCAAGGCTGCCAGTCTATGAGAGCAGACTGCCACATCTTTCTCCTAGTGGAGTAGCTAGTGGGTTTAACCACTGTCCCACCAGAGGTCCTCATTCCCATCTTACAGATGAGAAAAACTGAGGCTCAGAAAGAAAGTAGTTTGCCCCAGATCACAGGCCTCGTAGGTGGTTATTCTGATGCATAGTGACCCCAGTATGCAAAGTCGACACTCCACTGGGCTTTCAAGGCTGTGCTCCGTCTTCTGAGGTGCCACTGGGTGGGTACAAAGTCCAGGCTTTAGGTTAATCCCACACTTGGCTGTTGGCACCACCCATGTGGTTGTGGTCTGCCCTGGGATCGGTTCTGACACCTAGTGACCCTGCATAGGGTTTCCAAGGCTATAAATCTTTATGGGAGCAAAAAGCCTCATCTTTCTCCCACAGAAGGGCTGGTAGTTTCCAACTGCTGACCTTGAGATTAGCAGCCTGACTAGTAACCACTGTGCTACAGAGTTCCAGGTGGATCCAGGATATTACTGCAGATGTTCTGATCTAGGTGGAAGCAAGCTGGCACCTGGCATCACCATGAGAGGCACTGCCCCATTGTGTGTGTGACCTCAGTGCCAGGAGAAGTTGTGAGTTGGTGTAGACACACACATGCTCACATTACACACTGAGACTCCCCAACCACCAGACTCTCATCCCCATGAGCACCTAACAATGACAGACTCCCAGCCTCAAGTGTACATACAGAGGGTGTTAGAGGCAACTAGGTACCAGGTCCAATCTGCCCCTGACTAGCCAAAAGTCTCACTGTCCTTGTCTGTAAAGTGGGGATAGAAGCAATCCAAGTTCCCCATAAGAGCTGGTCATCAGGACCCAATGAGAAATGGAGGTTGAGGTGTTTTATGAAATAACAAATTCCGTCAAGTTTTTCTTCCCTCCTTTGCCATGAAGAGCAGATATCATTATTGGGAACATTTTCTTCTCTGAACAAGAATAGGGCGTTTTCATTCTAGCCATGTACACAGTTTCTACCGGTAGTGAATGCCTGGGATCCAAAACTGTACCAAACCCACCAATCCCTCCCTGGTTTCATAAACCAGACCTGCACCACCTCTACTCAGGGTGGCATGAGAACCAGCTGAGTTGGTGTGTGCGACAGGACTGTGGCTGGAAGACAAAATCCATTAACAGTCAGACAGGCAGAAATGAATGTTGCTTAGGATACCAATTAAAGGAAGCTTACACACACTTCCATAAAACCAAAACTGCTGCTGCCGAGTCAATTCCAACTGATGAAGGCCCTGTGTGTCACAGAGGAGAATTGCTCCATAGGGTTTCTTGGCTGTAATCTTTACAGCACGAGTTAAGCACTTGGCAGAGGGTGGCGCTTCCCAGACCAGGCAGCTCAGGTAGGGCTCCGGGGAAAAGGGGCAGAATCGCACATAAAAACCCTCTGTCTAGCAGACAGACAGCCTTTGAACAAACATAAGATCTTATATTTCAACATTCTGAACTCATTTTTTTTTTAAAGATCAAATTGCTGAGGAAATACAGGCACTTTGAGCTTTTGCCTGCCTGCACGCAGCTCCCACTTCCACACCCGTGCCAGCAAGTGCCTCTGCCCCCTGCAGACCTTGGAATGCAGGGCTAGAGCAACCCCACTTAGAAGGCTGCATTTCCACAGAAAAGGAAGCATAAACTAACAAAGCTGAACATATAGAGAGGGATATCAGCACGGATATCAGGAAATTCGGGGTGCCCACGGTACAGAGAGACTGAGAGAGGCATTTTTTACGTCATCAGATATGGACAATACCTCCCTACAGCCACTAACCACAGCCCTCTACTGCCCCGGCCTAGACCAGCCCTCTGCCAAGCCACCGAGGCTCAGGAACACCCAAGGCACAGGCCTGCCCACAGAGGCCAAGGCCCTCCCAAGGCCCAGACACTCCCACTGAGGCCAAGGCCTGCCCTGAGGCCCAACCTG